AGGGGGGAAGGGGGGAGGGGGGAAGAGCAAGAGAACACAGGAGGGGAGGCTGCATGTGTGTTCGCCACATGGCAATCATTCGTGCAATCTCCCCCTGTGCTTTCTATTCCTCGTTCTCCTTTTCTAGCCATTCTTGGTGGATATGCATGCTGTAAGTGGGACCTCCCTACCTGGGACAAGTCCCAAGCAGTTAGTGGACCCTCCCTACCCGGGGCAAGCCCTCCTTGCATGGCTTCTTCATTCTGAAGAATAGGCTACAAACTGACAAACTCCAGAAACGGAATCAGAATAAAAAAGAAAAAGAAAAAGAAAAAAAAGAAGCAGAATGCAGGTAAGTCGGACCTTGACCCTGCTGTTACAAAAGTCCTACGGCCATGACAAAACACTCTGGTCCCAGATTTGAGCCATCTGGTCCCAGGTTTGAGCCATCTGGTCCCAGGTTCGAGCCATCTGGTCCCAGTTTCACTTGAATGTTGCCCCGTGAAAAAATTATGTTGACCCTTTTCTAAGTTCTCTTCCCATATTTTTTTCACGGGGCAACATTCAAGTGAAACTGCTGCTTTAAGTTGAACTGCCATCTGGTCCCAGGTTGAAGCCATCCGGTACAGGGGCTGGGCCATGTGGTCCCAAAAATGGTTGGTTTAAGCCACCTGGTCCCAGGATTGATGTGAAACCACCACCACCTTAAACCAGCAATCCCTTTCCCAGCATGTGCACTGCGCCAGTCCGTTCTTTTTGTTTTGCCTCCCTGAGTCCCTGCAGAAATTCCAGGTCGGAAAGAAAAAGAGGCTCAGGGGTACTAGTGGGTTTAAAATTTCAATTGGACCACGAGCTTCCCCCGAACAGAACACAGGAAGGCACACTCTATCCACATCGGGAGATAATCCGGGGCAATTTCCAGGTCCAACGGAGACCTTCGTTCCCTTTTGGCCAAACTACCGTCTTCACCCGAATAGAACGCCCGGTCATTATAGCCGTATTTGGTCCAACTTCCATCCAGATACGGCAAGAATGACCAGGCGTTCTATTCGGGTGAAGATGGTAGTCTCTGACCTACCGTGGCGACTACCATCTTCACCCTAATAGAACGCCCGGTCATTCTTGCCGTATCTGGACTGAAGGTCGGACCAAATACAGCTATAATGACCGGGAGGTCTATTCGGGTGAAGACTGTAGTCTCCAACAAGACAAAAATAAAGTGAAAATGATCTCCAACCCAGTCTCCAACAGGCGAACTTTCAGTAAAATAATCTCCAACAGGCAAAACTTTGGTTAAACTAGCTTCCAGCATGCAAACTTTTGGTCAAACTACCTGTCAATAGGCAAACTTGCGTCAAATCATCAGCAAGAGTCAAAATTTTGGTCAAACTCGCCCTCAACAGGCCAAATTTTGGTCAAACTACCAGTCAACAGACAAACTTTGGGTCAAACAATCTCCAACAGGCAAAATTTTGGTCAAACTACCTGTCAACAGGCAAACTTGGGTCAAATCATCAGCAAGAGTCAAAATTTTGGTCAAACTCGCCCTCAACAGGCAAAATTTCGATCAAACTACCAGTACACAGGCAAACTTTGGGTCAAACAATCTCCAACAGGCAAAATTTTGGTCAAACTAGCCTTTACAGGCAAAATTTTGGTCAAAGTACCCATCAAACTAGGCACTTAACAGAAAAGAATTGGGTCAAACTGGTCCCCAACCCTCTCTCTCTTTCGCTTTCCCTCAATGTGCACTAATTACAGGGCAACCCAGTCTTCAACCCAGACTCAAAAAAAGGCTCAACCATCACATTGAGATGGAAAGCAAAATAAATCTGAAAAATTCAATAACTTTTTTGGTTTGTAAGAAATTAAAACAGCACAACTACATTTCTCTGTGATATCATTCTGGTGAGAGAGATCAAGTCAGAATCGGAAAAAAAAGAAAGCAAATTAAAAAATGCAGTGAAGGTTTGAGACTTCAAAGTGCAGAAAAACTCAGAAAAAGAATTTCTTCCATTCACATCCCATTGGCGCCAGTGAAACATACCTTACAGGCGGCGATGACTGCCGCCAATGCAAACGACATAGGCTCAGCTCCAGCATCCTTTAACTCTCTGTGTGAAAGTACCCACAGAACAAACATCAGTGACAATCAGCCATGCACAACAGTCAACGAATCAGCAATATCAGCACCAGAGAGCTGGAAAAAAAAAAAAAATGGCCAACAACATAGTACTCCATGGTCACCATCCGCGTTGGGCATGAATTCACAGAGGGGAGGGGGGGGGGGGGGAACCACAGACAGTTGAAGCAATATTGAAACAGGGGCAAACGGAACAGAGTGTAAAACACTACCGCCTTCACCCGAATAAAACGCCTGGTCATTATCGCTGCATCTGGTCTGGGAGTTGCCCCAAATACAGCTATAATGAACAGGCGTTCTATACGGGTGAAGACGGTAGGGGCAGGAATGCAACAAATGACATTGGCCCATCTCCAGGAGACCAACTAAACTCTCTGTCTGAGACTATGTGCAAGATAAACAGAATTGACAGTTTTGCGGTTGCCGTCTATTCCCAAACACAACGCACTCTCACTGACACTGTATCCAACCAAAAAGATGGCTTGTATACATACATTCAAGACCATAGCCTCGAAAACACACTACCACCCTGCAACGCCTTCTGGTTTGTATGGTTTTGGGACTAACTTTGTTTTGCTAGCAGTGATTCTTTTGCATTTCCACCAACTCGACAGAGTTTCAACGCACATTTTTTTTCTTTTTAATTAAACCACTAGTACCTCCGCTGGTTGGGAAAATAGGGTAGGCCTCGGGTGGGCCTCCGATCTTTGAGGAGGCCGAAACGAAACGACACCCGTCGATGAGACTTATCAACGGCGGCCGTCAGTTTCGGAGTTTGGGAAAACTGCCAGTTTTCCTTATTTTCCCAATCCATTGGCAGAGGTACTGGTGCTTCCAAGATCCCACACCCCTCATATACAGCCAAAGTATCGCCTTCAGAATATTGCAATAACTCAACGTAGACTATGCAATAGTCTTGAGCCACACGTTGACACTTGGGTCTAAGGCCCGTAACAGGGGCCAAAGGCCACGCCCAAGTCGTAGGAAATTGCATGATACGAGGCATGCTGCTGTGGGAACCCGAAGCACGGCCTAAGCTGGGGTTTCAGAGGCCCTGCGTGCGACAGTTGACCGTGGAAAGTCAAAGGTCAACAGCAGCTCGGAAATTCAGGCTCACGAGTCGAAGTCCCCATGGTCCCAGCCCAGGCCACAGACCAGACACACACGTTTGGTTGTTTGCATGTATCTGCCAGGGATTCAGTCCAAGTGGGAACTGCAACTGCATGAATCCAGGCCGTCGACCGCAGGTCAATCTGGGCTGCCGTATCCATTAGACCAGAGGCTGGTCAAGCCGAGTCAACACAATATGTTGACCCAGCCCCTGCTGACCGACATTCAGTCTTGCACTGGCTGCTCGACGCTGGCTGGACGCTAGCTCTACTCTGGCATTACGCTGGCTCGTCGCTGGATCTGCGATGGCTTAACATTGGAAGACGACGCAAGACTGCACAGCGTTTATTTGATGCTGGCGCCATCTCCAACTTGGGCGCCAGCTGGATCAGAGACTATGCTGACGTGGAGCTGGCCACACTGTCTGCTACCGAGACTATGCTGATGTGGCATTGGTCATAGTGTATGGCGAGGAGGAGGAGGAGAAGGGCTGTGAGATTGGTTGATCGAAGGGAAGCTTACCTGTTCGATGACGTGTCGGCATTGCGCGCTGCTAATTGTCTTCACAAGGTATCTACGCTGACAAGCGCTATAATGAGATCGGACGTGTGTCAGGTTGTGTCAGAGGAGACTGTCTGCTGATGTGGCAAGGGGAGATGCCCGAAGAAGAAGAGGGGAACTGAGGGAGTTATATCTGCTACGCTGACGGATACTTTCTCTTCCACCCTCTTAGTCTCATCTCCCTCTCTCCATCTTCTTCTCTCGTGACTACACATTGGCTACTTCACGATGTATAAGATTATTGGGAGACATTGAGACTGCACAGAGACCATTCTGTAGTTTGACATTGACGACCTTCTCTCCTGACTGGGTTCATTGCAATATATCCAAACGAAGCTTTAATTCAAATGAATCACATTCCGCTTACATCCAAACAAAGCATTAATTTTAATGAAGCATTAACTCAAATGAAGCATTAATTGAAATGAAGCATTAATTCAAATGAAGCATTAAAGTCGAGTGAGAGAGATTCGTGTGCAAACGGCACTCCACCTCATTCCTTACCTTTGGAGTTCTAATGCCTGGTCAACCATCCCTGCTTGAGCACAGAGGTGAATCATAGCACTGACACAAACACCACCCAACAATACTTTCAAGTTAGCTGACATAAGCAGACTTCTCTACCACTCTCTCTCTCTCTCTCTCTCTCTCTCTCTCTCTCTCTCTCTCTCTCTCTCTCTCTCTCTCTCTCTC